TGTCATTGTTGGTAAAAGGCGGCCCGTGTCAGTCGTTTGCAAAGCGACGTAGATGGAAACAAATTGCCGCGGCGTTTTTCGCGGCCTCGCAGATGCAGGAGCGAGCCGACGTCAAAAAAGATTTGTTTGAACTACGAGTGTCAGCAAGAGCCACGTAAATACCTGTTCACACTCAGAGCGGACGAGCGTTTGATAAAAGTGCTGTATTCGCGCTGTTGGTAAGCGCTTCGGGATCGTTCTTTTACGATTGCAACTCGATACTGACGCGACACTCGGCAAAGAAAGGTTGGACCGGCATTGCACTTATACCTCCCACGAACTGTTATAGCTCGACAGTGAAGTGCAGTCTGTCAGAATAAAAATGACATACCAATAACAAAGTGTACATACCGTGTTACGAAGGTAATCCATACGGCGTTTATTTCAGCTCTATATCACACAAAACAAGAAGATAGAAGCGACGTGAGTCCCATTTCGACGAGTGTTCTTCAACGCTGCCTCGGAAAACAAGGGGAAGAGATTGACCTCACCTCTTAATCTAAAATATACGTCAGCGATCAAACTTTAATACGGGAAGGGTCCACAAGGGTCGCGCGGGCATATTCCATTCAGCACGCCAGCCGGTCGTAGGCAGACGGTCTTTCGACGAAGCAACGCTGCGCCGAGTCGGAGTGCCTGCTAGGCCTATATTCTGAGCAGCTCGCTTCGTCGGAGTCAATGGATTTTCTCGGGTGTTTGTAGATCCAGCGTTCTTGTTCGTCGTGGTCTGTTTTAAGTACTTTTTTTTCTTGCTGCTTGGAGTCGGCACACGCGAGAAGAACACGTAGAAAAATAAACGTTCAGTCAGTCAGAGTTTTGAGAGGAAGGAAATCAAAGGAAATAAACGTTCGTCGGTCGTCGCCACCCAAGTAACTGCAGTCGCACCTGCCCATCTGCGCACGCGCAGTAGTTGCTTTGTTTACCACACGATAGATGGCGCTTAGCTCTCAGCATTATCAAATTTGGCAATTTTCGCCACACATCTCTAATTATGTTACAAAATGTGGATCTGAATATTATTTGACAAAACTTTTATGAAACATTCGCCGGCTATTTATTGTTTACGATCGCGGTGCTGGTGAGGTAGGCTCTTACCCAATAAGCGACGTGGATTCGGCTGACGTGCTGCGATTCCGCGGATGCATCGCGGTGAAAAGGCAGACAACATTCGAAGGAAAGAAGGCGCAAAAGAGTCCAGTTTTCTTTTAAAAGTTCTATAGCAAATCTTTTTTTTTTTTTTGGCTCCCTATTTTTGTGTTTTTGTGTTTCTTTTCACACCTTTTACGGCGTGCGGTGGATAAAATTCGATTTTAAAATCATTTCATGGTCCCTTTAATAGTTTATGGCAAGCTCCTCCCACCCCTCTCCACTTTAGCAGAGCGAGCGCTGGAGAGGAGGCGACCTCCCCTCCAGTGTTCGCTCTGCTAGAGTGGAGAGGGGTGGGAGGAGCCTCCTCTGAACCTTTAACCTGTCACCGACTATTGTTATCTGCTATACATTATAGTCACCTAAGATTTAGCAAAAGGAAAAAGACAGGAAACAAAACAAGGTGGTTCGAAGAACGGTCACTCGCAAGGAGAGCAGGACGAGCTCCTCTCAGAACCCTGGTTTGCCGTGAAGGTATATCTCAAATTGAGACGCACCTGCACGGCAAAACATGGCTTCATTTCGGGCAGACGCCTTTTCTCACGCATGGCAAGCCGTCGCTTGTCTCCCGCACATAGGTATGTAAATCAATAAAAATGACATTTTTTTTATCGGTATTCGACATGGTAGCTGGGAATAGATGAAGAGTTTAAGGTAACGCCAAGTGCATAAACTGGCAAAAAGAAAAAAATATACAAGTTCTGCCATTTGCATTTACCAGGAACTGCACCCTGCGCACTGGCCACTGTTCGTGAATATTTTTATTTCTCTATGTCTTTAATATTTATCTGCATCTGAAATCTGGAATATTTCTTGGTGATTTTGTGCAAGTAATTTATAAATATCCGGTTATATAAAAGGCAAATGTATCCAGTATCTGCATCTTGGCCCTAAAAACATGTATCTCAGCACTTCTATTCCGGAACACTTTTTGGAGTGTCTCTGGCCATACCTGGACGACACGCACGTTGTCTGATAGACCATTTTCAGAAGTGCGCTCCATCTAATTTATCTCACCCGTGACCCTGAGTTGAAAATGCTTTAAACACGTGGTGTGCTAGGAGCATACTTAAGCCGGGGTCACACTGCTTATACATCAAACAAAATACATTCTGCAAACAGATTAAAAACAGGAGTCACCGCGAGATCAGTGCTTCAAATGCCGCGTGGCAATGAGTTCACGGAGAAACTTGGGCACGGGGCATTCGAACCACGGATATTGCGATGACCCGTTTTTGCAGGCTGTCTTTCGTGCGATGTAGGAAAAGTGTAACGGCGGGGTTCGAAAATTTCCCCTACGGCATAGATTGGCCACGAATGCGCACCAAATATGTCGCGCTCGATTCTCACCTAGTCCAAACCGACCAGTGCTCCGATTAAATCCGGGAGCAGAGTTCGGTCGTCACGCGACCGAAAACCGTAGAAAGTCTGGACGAACGCGAATTACACCCAAATCAGAAAAGTTTTCAAAGTGGAAGAACGAAAACAGTATATATCTTGCTGTCATACTCTGAAAATCACGTTTCAAACCTTTTATTTTTATTGTCATTTATTTCATTATCGATTTTTCCCGCTATATTACCATATATGCGGCGAATAAAATGGAAACCAGGTAGATTTTATCGCCCTTATAAAAATTATAAAAAAATCTACCGCTTCCCTTGGAAAGGCTGACGAAAGCCGACCTCTCAAAGTTACTGATCTTCCAGGAGTTACTCCTGGAGGAGGGGAACAAGAGGGACTAAGGACAAAGACAAATCTCCAAACACAGCTAGGTGCATTATTGTCCAGCTCGCTTGCACCTTTGAATTTAATTGCTTTATAATTATAATTAAGTAAATATCAGCAGCCTCTATTATGTTGGATCTTTTTTTTATATATATACAAAATTTAGGAGTTAATTATACTTAAGACTGAGCAATGTTATAAGGCGTGCAAGGTCGTCTGCTCATTACGCACCTCGTGTCTTTGTTCACGCTCGATATGCGCAACGTACTTTTGTTTGCCCCCACCGCAACCAACGACGGCTCGCGCTAGAGTTGCCTCGTCATGTTACGTTCCTTACGCGTTATCTATGTTGTCCTTCGATTGGCATACCCCTAGGTCCTTGTGTTCCGATGCGCCAAAGACGCATCTCGGAACACTTGCCCACCGTACAGCCAGCCGGCAGCAGCCAGGCGGCGCCTGCAGAGTGAGAGCCCACGGTTTTACCCAGCTTCGTTGTAACCTGGCAAAGGGTCAATGATAAGTTCCACATTGCGTGCCGACGGTTTCCGATACGCGCTACATATACGAGCGCAACGCGCACATATTGGAGCATGACGCGGCGAAAAGCTTGATACTACTTAGCAGCAAAAGCGCACTCCGGTGATATGTAGTCACGTTCCGATTGACACGCCAGGGCCGTAGCTTCCGTCTTATACTGGCATGTTACGCGATCACGGCTCCCTGGCCTACCCAGTATACTTCTTGCTTCAAAAAGTCAAATTTGGGGGTTTTACGTGCCAAACCTACGACGGGCATCTGGCACGCCCCAGCGGAGGACTGAGGATTAATTTCGACCACCTGGGGATCTTTTGACGTGCAAGCGAAAGCTCGGTTACACGGCGCCTTCTCCGCAATAAGCCTCCGTCCAATTGCGGGCACCTCGGTCGGGATTCGAACCCGCCAACTTCTTGCTTCAGACGCTAAGCTAAGCGGCGCCACCAGAGCAATAGCTAACGTTTGAACAATGCAGCCGCCACTCCCAGGCATACCCGATGTTTCTTGCTTTAGTTGCAAGATAGCGCCTAGCGAAACAGCATTGCAGAATGCCTAGCCGCGCCACTTGTAGTGAGCTCCTTCATTTCTAACGACAGCTTAATTCAGCGAGCGACACAATTTATCTGAATGCATTGAAGATAGAGTGAGTAGACAGGCGAGCCGGTTTATGTTACACATTTTCGAAGAACCGGAGACGACCTAAGAAAAAGGGGACAAACACAAAACGTCTCAAATGCCGCTACTAAACTTTTTTGTCCCAATCGTATATATACCACCTCACGTCTCCCGGTAATTTGCGTAAGTGCGGGCCTCTGTACCGATGGGCGAGGGTTGGGCCGGGTTCGGTATTTGGGTGAATGTTTGAAGGGACGGATAGGTTTGCACTGCTTTGTACGAGTTGAGGTCTCTGGTTTGAATTTAGGTCAAGACCTTCGCTGAAGGTCACGGGGACGTGCGCTAATTACCTGGAGACGTGTGTGGGATATGGTATATATACCATAGTGCCAAAAAAAAAAAAGTTTAGTAGCTGCGTTTGAGACACGTTGCGCTTGTCCCCCCTTTTCATGCGTCGTATCCGTTTTTTTTTTTTTTTTTTTTGTTTTTTTGTTTTTGTTTTTTTAGAAATGTTTATTTTAACGTTTTTAATAAACATCCTAGAATATATTGGAGAATGTAAAAACCTATTTATATAGATTTCACAAGTATATCGATCGTGTGTTTAATCCTTATAATGAGTAGGGCTTTAAAATATAAAAACAAACAAATAAATTACGCGACTTTTTTTCTTGCTGATAAGTAAAAAGACAGATCCGTACAGCCAAATATGTAACAATTCTTCTTGCGTTGTGTAACTAACTAGTTGTGTTGTTTATAAAAAGTTTTTGTTCTATTCTAGTCACGTTTGAAAAAAGTGTCTCTGGAACGTCTTTCCCTGAAAAAAAAAAAAAGTGTAATGGCTGCTCAGGTTTCTTTTGTAAGTACACGAATAACCAGAACCCCAGAAAGGTGCACAGTCGTGCCAATGAGCGCTCGAAGGAAAAAGGAGAACTAACCTTGAAGGAACGTGCAGGCGTCCGCCATGACTCGCCCAGGAGGTGGTTGCAGGTGTCCCGAAGACGCGGGACTCAATGGGTGCCTCAAGACGACTTTCGGAAGACGGCGCTTCCTTCGCTGGGGCAGATAAGCGCTGAGCAAGCGATAACGCCGCTTCTCCAGTCGCTCCGACTAGAAGACAACAACAAACTTCCGCTCGATCCGAGACGTTGGGATGACGGCGCCTAATCTTTCTTTACTAATCTACGAATGGAACAGCGCAAGAGCCAGGAAAGATAGGGGTATCAAAGGCGGTCTCTTTGACAGCTTTCACACTCAGGTAAGGTAAAGTCCCACGATAAAATTCAGGCGCGCGAATTTTATTAAAATCATTTGATTTCCATCAAGGAATAAAAAGGGAACCTTTAGAACACAAGTTTGAGAGCATTGTATACTTTTTTTTTTATTGTGTTACTTTAAAAAATCCTAATTTTTTTTTTTCTTTAAGTAAATTTTAGCATGCTCTCCGGATGTTCATAGCTTACAAAACTTACATTAATTTCTCACTGCGCGCAGATCTGTCCGAGCATCACAGCGGCAACGTGTGTGTAACCGCTACTGTGTAACGCATAGTTGCCGACAGAATGAGAAAGACAGGATGGTCCTTCGGTCGTCCCGCCGCCAGCTTGCAAGCTTCGATAACAGTTGGGCGTCTCGTAAGCCTCGAGCGCGCATGCGCAACCAAAGCACGACGGAAGGCAACAAGATAATGCTGGAGGCTCAGCATTAAAATAATTCGCCCTGTCGATCTCACCCTGTCAGTTTCTTATCTACTGCGAAGAGACATGTTGTCACATTTTGATGACTGATCAGCACTATAATTTGCTGTAAAAATAGGAGAAAAACGAGCGAAGGTCAGTCCCTTAACTCGCATTCAGAATGAGAGGTTACGTGACGTGAATGGTGTCAATTAAGCGCGAAACACATGTACGACGAAACCGTCCAATCCGACGTCCGATCAGTCAATATTACGGTCGGAGGTGAGGGTTTTCAACGCTCTCCGGTGCTACGAAAACCCTCGCCCCCGAAGGGCATTCCGGCAGAGCGCACGTAGGATCGGTCAGTTTCGTCGTACATGTGTTTCGCGCTTAATACGCCTCCAAAATGTTCCCCGAAAACGCGCACTAAAATATTCAATGCACATGGGCAACTGCTGTGATACGGGCATTGCTACAGTTCGGCTGTTCCCGCCATTGCAGTGAATGGACATGAGCCACAACCCGAATACCCGCAAGGCAGCGATTGTAAGCGAGCGTACGTTGAGTGCTTACGCAGTGTTTGTGTCCAAACGGTAAACAAAGCGACGCAAAATCAAATCAAAAGTCATTGTCTTGCGGGCGAGTGTTGGATCGGATCGAAACGTGCAGGGGCGCGCGAGATGGAATGTAATTTAGGATCTCAGAGTTCTGCAGCGCGAACTTTCGTTCCAAATGCGCCGAGCTACGGAACGTTAACTTTAACCAACGTTACTAGATTACCTCAGTTGTGGAACTCCCGCGGAGGGGGGTGCTCCCCTCACTCACTTCAGTCCACCTCTCGTCGTTTGAAGCCCCATCTAGATTTTCGTTTCAAAACGCTGTGTTTCATAGAGTGCGGTGGAACGCCATCTACTCTCCGTTCACAGTTAAGCTGAGACCCTACAAGCGCAAGCTAGACCGCGCTTCCTGGCTTTGAGGCGTGCCTTTCTAGCGCTAGTGCTCGTTCTGCGGAAGAATGTTTCAAAGCCTCGACTTCGTGTTCTCGCGCATGTAGCATTGACTGCAGTCTCAGTTTAAGGATGAACGGAGTATAGACGCTTTCAGGCAGCTGTGCATGGGCGCCGCCATAACTGACGTTCAGTTTTTGTTCCCTATTGTTCCGTTTGCTCCACTTCATCATTACCACAACAGGACCGGTTATTGCCATTTTAAGTGTTACTGTGTCCTTCTCCCCAGCATAGGCCCTTGTGGAGGCTCCTCAAAGACCGCTTCAGTGCCTCGGCATCTCGGTAAGACTAAAGTAGCGCCATTGCCTTCCCTACCTGTTAGCCGGACACAAACGGATACTAACATACAGACGACCCAAACCTAGCAAGGCGATTGGCTAATCGGTCTACGTTGCTATGGAAATCGCCATCTTGGTCCATTTAAATCTTCAAAGCTTCCAGAGGGTCGTTTTAAACCAGTCGCGCCAAGATTACCATGGAGCATCATCGTACTGGAGGCGTTCCTCACCAATATAAAAGCCTTTGGCACTCTGCATGCAATCAACTTATTATTCATGCCCATCTCCATGGGTCTCTAACAATTATATTGTTCTTCTTGCGTATTTCAATACAGTAAACTTATTTTTCAGTGCCTCCAAGCACCGACACAGCATCTGGTGGTGGTACGAAGGTGTACGCCTGTTTCGCCGGTGTGTGGTTAGCAAAATCTCGGTATACAAAAAATCACTCCGCAAAGCTACCCGTCACCAGCGAATCTAGATCGGCTCACCAAGAACGAAGGGGTCAAGGAGAAATTTCTCATTTCACGGACCAAGATGGCGACCACACGGGGAGCTTGGCTACAGTGGCTTGGCGTTACTTTCCCAGGATTCAGTGACTTTAGGTACGACAAGAGAAAGTCGGCTATGCGGGCTCGATCTGGCGCGCGCTGAAAGCGTCTATAGGCGCTGTGCTTTGAAACATGCGTATTTCATAGAATAAACTGTAGTTACCATAGCAGGCATCCTCCCAAAACGGTGAAGCGTCGAACGACGGGAGGCTAAAGCCCTTCTATCCTGGGAAAAGTGGCGTCATTCAGAGTTGTGCAAATGCTCGAAACACGTGTGGCGCGCCACTTCTGGGAAGAACATGGCGTCTGAAATCTAGTTCAGTGCTGCGCTCTGCCGGCATTATCTTCCCAAGGGCTGCACGTTGCACGTGCCTCTTGCATCGACGCACCGTGCGCTACCTTTAAAACATGAAGGCGAGTCGTGGGGGGGGGTTACTGTTTTTGCTTTAAAGGCTGGTTCACACATGCCCGTTTTTTTACGTTACGTTACGTTACCAAAGCTTACGTACGGGTCACCGTGACTTCTGGGCTTCATATAAAGTGTGGCAAGCAGTTCAACGAGAAAGCTTGGCACAGGACATTCGAGACATGAATGTTTCGAAGGAAAACGTAAGAAAATGGCGCTGTGTGAGCTTTCCTTTACGCACTCTGCTAGCCTGCATTTCTTATAACCTAGTTCCAGTTCTTTGAATTCAAATACAGTGTCACTCATCTGAAAGCCTGCAGGTGGGACTAATATCCAATACATCATTTTGCCTTAATAACATAGACAAACCATAGGAAAGGAGCGGACAAAACTCAAGCCCAGACCAGGGCTCCCATAGCGACAAGCATAATTTTCATCGGTAATTCCTCTTCAACCGCTGCACTCGGACTACAGTTCGCTCAGGTTTTGCGCCACGGAATTTGTAAGAACCTTACATCACGTTGTAATAATGACGGGCAAACTAGGCCCGCGCAGTTTGTCATAATTGCTTTCCAACTAGTAGGCGGCGACAACCACTAGGTGGCAGCGTACTATCAGAGGGCCCAGAGAGGGCCTAGAGTTCCTGTATAGGCTCCCTACGGGAGCCAGAGTTGCGCGTTTGATTCCACGTGCCGCGTGCCTCCCTCGCCGCTATTCGCCGAGATCCGATCACGTGAGGAGCCGTATCAAGTGTCGTGCAGCAAAGTAGACGTTGCACGCGCCCCGGCGTACGTTCCCCGGCTTTACAGCGCGCTGCGCGCCTCGAATAGCATGCTATTCACCGAATTCAGTCACGTGAGGAGCTGTATCCACATGTCATGCATGAACGCGCAACTCTGGTTCCCGTAGGGAGCCTATACAGGAACTCTAAGAGGGCCTAAGTGCCTTCAGACACACGCGCGTTCTTGCTTGAGTGGTGACATCTCAGCCATTTTTCCGCCCAACCGTTTTTTTATGTATATTGAAGTGCGCGCAATCCGGTGACACTCAGCTCGAACGCGTAGCTTTGGCTAATGCATAGACGCCATTTTACCGCCCAAGTCACGCACCGAGTGCGCGAGAGCATCACGCGCTGGCACATTCAGGGCAACAATGGATGTCTTCACCCTGAGACAGACAGACATGTCGGCAACCTAAGAGAGCCTGTATTACAGATATTTTCCATGTGCAAGATCGGGGTCACGTGGTTTATGGGCCGCGTTTGCAATAGAAACTATACTTCGTCTCACCTTAGCATGGACTATTGTTAGCCGGGCATGCTAAAAGCGCGAGCTATTCGCTTTGGACGAAGCCTCGGCAGCTGCACGAGCGCTCGTGCAGCGAGTGCTCCAGTCAAGGTAGACAAGGCAACCCGGTCGCGCTTACACAGCCTTCGCAGTTACTCCATGCAAACGCTCCCCATGGTTTGAGTAGGACCCTCTCTACAATTTAGGCTCTCCGCGAATGATGGCGACAAAGGCACGAGCGGGCACCTTCGAATGGAGCTCTTGCCGCACGAGCGCTCATGCAGTTGTAGCCCGATGAAATGCAATGAACTCGTGCTTGTAGCCTTTGAAGTTACTTTCTCTCCCAATAGAGCTTTCTGGAAAGTCGCCATAATCCCGCTCTGCAGCCGCAAATCCAGTGATGGCCGGCAGTGAATACTCTGCTACACTGTAACCGCGCGCTGCGGAGTGTGCACGACTGCAATCTTCTATATTGCCTCCGAAGGCGTGCATTTGCTCCTCAAATTACCGTCCTCGGCAGGAAATCAGTAGAATTCCGGCGTGGATTAGTGTACAATCACGACTGCGTGGTGCACGCCAAAGAATCCCGGCCTAACGTGCTGCGCCGGTTAAACTTCGCACCTCCGGGGACATCAGACGCGCCTTGGAGGCAGACTAACGCCACGCTGTCTAAACATCTATGCAACAAATTACGCAATTTGTACTCAGCGTACGCCACAATTAAAGCCCCTGAATAAGCTACGCCAAAAGTATTGGCATACAGATCGACAGTTTCATTCTGTGTGCCGTTACTTTGGTGATCACGATTCCAAAATGCGATTTCAGTTATCTTTAGATACGGTGTCGGGAGCTCAAGAGGCATCGCTTGGTGATGTCGCGGACTGTTGTATCATTTCTAGGAAACAAAAA